TTTTTTAGTAGGAAATACGGATACATCCATCTGTATGTACACTTTCTGGGCCCTGATCTCATCCTTGTTGGACAACTTTGCACTTTTCCCCATATTCAAGGGGCTAGAAGGAAAAATTAAGCCTCTGCTGGAGTCATTTAATCAGAATTTTGTGAAACTAGCAAAAAAACTGGAACCTTTCACCAGCCTGAAAGTTGGTGAAATGTCGACCAAGATTGTATTTTTGTGCATTTTTTACATTTTCAAGCGCCAACAATCATAAATTTGGCCTCTGCTGGAGCCACTCCATCATTGAGATCTGCTGGAAACAGTTTTGTTTTCCTCTGGACACCACTAACGTATCTCTACTCCGAGTTACAACACGATGTTCTCGGGAGTCCAACAACAACTCAGGACCTAAAGTGGACTTTGAAACCAACACCAAGCAACCAAGTCAAATAATAAATTGAAGTACACTAAATTGCGGTTTTCATCTTTACGTTCTTGAATGTGTTGCCGACGGACCGAGCTGTCCCAGTGTGGGAGCTGCTCACGGCCGGAGAAAGTGAAAGTCTGCCAGACGCTGCTACAGCGGCGCCAACCGAAGCTCAACAAAGGAATAAATGAACCAACACCTCCTTGGAAATACAGATGTTGCTCTCTGTTGGTTAAACATTTGTACAGGAGACAGGGTTTACATTGGAAGACATTGTTGGACTAAATTTTGGATTCTGCAGTTAAAATAATATATAAAAAAAAGGCATTTTGTCAGATTTCTGTAGCTGCGACGAGCCAAAGGACACCATCAGTGTTGGCTGTTAGAGGTACAGGTGAATACAACCGATCTGGTTAATAATATGTGACTTGAACAGAAAACAGGAGCACAGACCAGAAACACAAATTAAAACTCAGTTTAAAGGTAAATTTCAGCATCTTTTCTCTGAAGTCAGTTCGTTGGATTACGACGGAGCAAAGACGTCCGTCTGTACGCACATCTGATGACAAGACGTCCAGCATTTAAAGATGTCCGCCAGGATGACAGAAATGGGTCGGCCAGAACCAGGAAACGTTCCAGAAGAAAACCACACTTTTACCTTCTAAAATAAGTCAAAAGTACTAAAAAATAGAACGTCTGACATTAAAAAAACTCAAAGGTTTGGTGATTCGAGTGGATGTCGCTGCACTTTGTTTCTTGTTTAAGGTCACTCAGCATCACATCAGACAGAATTCAGGAGACGTGTTGCTCCATCGACTCGACTTCACTCGTTTGTTGAGTTCTGTCAAATATTTTGGCTGAATTTTGAGACTTTTACATGTTTCCAGAGCTGTGAACCTGGGTGGCCATTTTAGAGCTTCAGTATCTCCAGAAATAAAACTCCAACAGCCATGAAGTTTTAGACAGAAAAAAACAGCTTCCAGTGGATCCAGATGATTAAAATGTTGATTAAATGTCAACATGGAAGCAGCTTGTAACCCTACAGATATAATGACAACATGAACGCCACGTTTTGTTTCCTTAGGATCGAGTCCTTTGAGCATTTTGTCGTTTAAAATAGCAAAAACCTGAAACCTAGCTAGTCGATCATTTAACTTTGCTGTAAACACATTTGTCTGTGTTGTATGGCTTTCAGAGTTATACTTCTGAAGATACTAAACTATTAAAATGGCTTTTTCCCTGTTAGACGTCGTATTTCGAGGGTAAAGTTACGGAAACTTCCAGGTTTGAAAACAAAATAAATTCGCAAAATTCTGCCAAAATATTTCCAGAGCTCAGTTTCTGAGTGAGAATTACAAACACGAGTTATTTATTAAGAGCGTTTGGTCTGTGTACACGGGTGGAGTTTAAAGGATGTGATTTACAAACGTCACGTAAGCTGCCGTCAACAGATCCATCCCAGCTACAGTGACTTCTTTACAAACACCCCCCCAAAAAAAAAACAAAACAAAGAAAACCTTCAAATAAATTGGTGGAGACACATTATGGCACAACGGAGAACACAACAGGAAAAGCAGCGCAAAACAGACATCGTATGTACACCTGAACATGCCGAAGATAAAATACATCCACCTGTGAGTGCGGATGAGTCTGTACACACATTTACATTATGTACCGGAGCGCTTCCTCCTGGGTCACCATCGACTTTACGGCAGCAAACTCTGCTCACGACCTGCGACGTCCTAACGCTGGAGGCGAACCGAGCCGAGAAGAACTGTCTCTATGGCAAAAATAAATATAAAAAAAATAAAATAAAATAATGAAAATGCGTCTCCCTTTTGTTATCAGAGGCTTTGGTTCAGATTTTTCCAGATGGCAGATGGTCGTCGCTCCAATATGTCGCCAGAAATGGAGAAATAAATAACAGAAAAATAAACTTTCTTCAGCTTTGGATTCGTTCAGATGCTCAAATGTTGGGAGTTTTTCTAATCGACACTCTTTCGTTGTTAACTTCAGACACGTTTTTAGACTCGTGGCTCGTTTCTTCGTCATTCAGTTTTCCTTCTCTCGCTCTGTACAGTCACTAGTTGTAACAGTCTTTTGTTGGCGCTCTCTCATGCAGCTTCCCAACATTCAACATTTACATTATGAGCTGAGCTTTCATGCAGCATCTACGCCTTTTTAAATTCAATTCTTCTTCTTCTGCCACAAACTGTGCAGCCATGCAGGTCTGAACTGGCATTCTGCAGGACTTACTAAATACATTTTTCTTTTTTTTTTTTTTCAAGAAAAGACGACGTTAAGAAGAATCCGCGGTGAAATAAATCTAATCTTCCACGCTTTCTGCTACAAACACACGTTTAGCTGCCTGCGGAGTGATGAAGGTGAGCGAGGGCGACAAAAATCAACCGTCCTCGAAACTGCATTTAAAAAAAAGAAAAGAAAAAAAAAAGCAATCAGTGACGATAAATATAACGCTTAAAAACCCAATCAGATCAGGATGAGCGGCGGGCGGGGCAAGTGACTGGCACGGCGTCGTACCAGCGGTGTCGGTTTAAAGGGAGTGTGAATATTGTGGTGCTGCCGTGTTCACTCCCCCACTTATCTGTGACCGTCCAGCAGACCGCTGCAGTCCCACGTCCTGCTGCCGTTAAAACGGCAGCTTCTTCAGCTGCTCGAAGGTGATGAAGAACTGAAGGGCCGAGTTAAGGACACGACAGAGACAGCAGGAGATCCACCTGCTAAAGAACCACCTTAGACGATAGTTACAGTCGTTTTACTTGCAAATAGAAGTCGGTGTTCAAACATCTGCAGCGTAAACACTCACAGAGAGTCGAGTTACTGGTTCTGTTCTGCTTGTACGTTTCTACACTGACTCAGTTCAATCCTATTCATGTCCATGTAGCTGCTGGGAGGCTTTCTGAACCCCGAAACCCACCAGCAGGTATGAAAGCTATATTTGGTTTGTTTTTTTCTGCAAAGTTATACCATTTATCAGCAAGAAACCGCAAAAAACAAACAAACAAAATAATCAAACGTTAAACTTTCCAGTGGTTCCTAAAAGTTGCTTTTGCAAAAATGATCAAATCTAACTCAAAATCACCCTCTTTTACACATTTCATTCAAAAACCTGCCAAAAAAAAATTATTTAAAGAAACCTAAACTAAGCACGACGCTGCACAGCTGAGCAGCCGTATTCAGGGACATTTCGGCTGAACTGCAGGCTGTGTAACGTAAACAGTAAAATATCCAAAGCATGCAGAGTCAGCATTTCTTTCAGTGTTGGTAAAACCTGCGGAGTCGAGGAAATTTGTTCAACATGTGGACTTTAGGTTTGTCAGGTTTTTAGTTTTTTTTGTACATTTTTGCAAAATGGACAATCACATAAATAATCTTCCAGTTTTTAGTTTTTCATGATTTATGGCAGTATAACGTTGCTATGGGGCCTAAAGGACATTTCAGTTTGGGGTAATAAATGATTAAGCGTTAATGTGGAACGTCGGTACATGAAGGGCCGAGTTGAATTGACTGTAGCTTAAAAATTATCCAAAGAGAAAGCAAGCAGAGAAAATTGGCAACTGATTAACAAACAGAAACAACAGAAACAACCCGTGTGACCAGAAGCTGGAGCTGTTCTGATGAAAACACTCCTGTGGTGGAAATGTACAGTATCACTGATCTGCTGAGGCAACAGGTGCCTCATTTATATTTTAGTAAATGAGAGCCTCAGGTTGTTCAAAACCGGTTTGACAGAAACTACAAATAGGGTGTTCGTTTACACACTGGAACCCATCAGGATATTCTTTTATAATGCAATATCAATATACTGAATAAAATAAGATAGAAATACTTTTATTGATCCCCAGGGGAAATTCTGTGATTATATATTATGAATTTATATTGTAAATTTATATTAAAAAAAACTAAAAAATACAATATGGTTTATATTTATAACTGTATCTTAGATAATAGCATATAAAAATAATATAAATATTGAAAAAGACATGATGAAATGGTACATTTTCTGAAAAGATGCCATGAAAATTAAAAATAAAAGACCGTTTGAATAAAGACCCGTCAAATAAACGCTGTAGATGTTATCTGAAAACACTCGGCTGATTTGCAACACAATGGATTTATGATTTATTAAGTAGAAGCTAAAAAGCGTTTTCAGTTTGTCAGACTTGATCTCATCTCTGTACCTTCACATCACGAGAAGCTACTGAGTCAAAACTGTTCACTTTCAAAGATGTGTCTCCAGTATATCTGAACAAATCAAAGCTTTTTCAGGAATAATCATTTTTCTACGAACTAGAAATGATCAG